CCCAAGATGCAGGTTTGATCCTGGGTCCGGAGACATGTGAGAGGCAGCTGATCAATGTTTCCTTCTCATATCGATGTTTCTCTCTCCCTTTAAAATCAATAAAAGCATGTCCTTGGATGAGGATTAAAATAAATACATATATGCGCATATGCGCATGATAGGGACTTATATCAAACTATGGTAAGCAAGAATGAACTGACCTGCAAAAGGGATAATGGAAAAAAAAAATTAAACTGGAGAGATACTGGGAGATACACCAGGGTCCTTAAATATAACCAAAGGGATAGAAAATAGGACCTACAAAGAATTTGGGCAATTGAGGAAGATAAATCCAAACAGATGAGGATTCACTATGAATAAAAATCCTGACCAAGTGTTCTCTCCAAAAAGGAAACATGGCCATACTTCTGTAATTTGAGAGAATGGCCCATAAAAGTGACTTATACACAAGAGATCATACTATGACTTAAACATCTGAAGCCACTAGAGATCACACACTATTGGTAATAGACTGCAACAATTGAAGTTGTAACAACTATTATTCCTGTTTGTGATAATGAGGAATAAAATTGTTTCTAAAAATGTAATTGCCAAAGTACCAACAATCAAATTAATGAATGACAACTTTATTTCTTAAAGGCTGATGAAAAACCATTATGATTTCTAATAAAGAAAATACAACATCTCAATGAAAAACTATGATAACTATATTTACTCATTAAATACTAAGTTTTCTCAAACACAACTTGAAAACATCTGGCATGCATGTTTCATCTCAGTACAGTGGATTCGAGATCAAGTATACATGTTACATGCATCAAGGCTAAATTACAAATTATCATAGTCGTCATCATCATCGTCGTCATCATCATCATCTTCACGTTTTCTTTTCAATGCATTTGTTGATTCATTGGCAGCATTTTGTGATGACACCATGTTAGTGGTAATAAGAATGTTTTTGGACCCAATTAATGATGGATTAATCAGAACATTCTGAACTGATGATGTTGCAGGAATTGATGCTTTTACAGCTGGGGATTGTGAAGTGGGCATCTGTACTGTAAATCTTTGCCCTGTGAGGGACATTGGAGTCCCTACTTTAGTTGAAACTGACATGGTTTGTGGGGTTGGTGTACCAAGTGTGGGAGTACTTGGTCTACTAGTAACTGAACCACCAC